TATTGTAGCTGATGTTAGATGGATCTTAGCTGAAAGCAGGGAATACCAGAAGAATGTCTATCTGTGTTTCACTGATTATGCAAAGGCGTTTGACTGTGTGGATCATAACAAACTGTGGCTGACTCTGAAAAGAATGGGAATCCCAGAACACTTGATTGTGCTAACGCAAAACCTATACTTGAACCAAGAGGCAGTCGTCAGAACAGAGCAGGGGAAACACTGCATGGTTCAAAACTGGGAAGGGCATACACCAGGGGTGTGTCCTATCTCCATACCTTTTCAACCTGTATGCAGAACAGATTATCCGAGAGGCTGGGCTCTATGAGGAGAAGTGTGGCGTCAGGATTGGTGGAAGATCTATTAACAATCTGCGTTACGCAGATGACACAGCCCTGCTTGCTGATACTCAGGAGGACCTGGCTTGCTGAGGAGGGTCAAGGACTGCAGCCTTCAATATGGATTGAGGCTCAATGTCAAGAAGACAAAGATTCTCATCACTGGACCAACTGGCAGGATCAGGATGGATGGTGAAGAGATTTGAGATTGTTAACAACTTTAGTCTGCTTGGCTACATGGACAACACTCTTGGCACCAGTAGCCAGGAAATAAAGAAACGTATTGCAATAGGAAAGTCAGCTGTTAGAGACCTCTCCAGGGTACTGAAGAGCAATGATGTCACTCTGGAGACTAAGGTGCATTTGATACAGGCGATGGTCTTTGCAATCACTTGTAATGCGTCACAGGGTTGGACAATGACTAGGGATAATAGAGGGAGAATTGATGCCTTTGAGCTTTGGTGTTGGAGAAGAGTGCTGAGGGTATCATAGACTGCTAAGAAAACAAATTAATCCTGGAGAGGGTTAAACCAGGCTGCTCTTTGGAGGCAAGGATTCTGGGGCTTTGTCTGACATACTTTGGACATGTAAGGAGGGACTGGTCCTTGGAGAGGGACATCATGCTTGGTAGGGTGGAGAGATAGTGCAGGAGCAGAAGGCCCTCTATGAGTTGGACTGATTCAGTGACTTGGGTAATCGGGATGGGTGTGTCAGAGGCAGTGAGACTGGCACAGAATAGAGCAGGGTTTAGGGCTGTTGTACACAGGGTCGCTATGAGTCGCAAGTGACTAGATGGTACATAACAACAACAATCTTAATCATTACAAAAACAGTAATTTCATCCTATACATGTGATCCCCACCAGATACCTTTAAGGAGACTGCTTCATAAAAATAATGAACATGCAAGCAACTTTAATGATCACATCCAGTCCATTCCTTTCTATGGGTGTTATTACTTTCAACTGTGACCTGGATGGTCCCCACAGAGGGAAGTACACCATTCCAAGATAAGGCTGGGTCTCTGACTAGCGAAATAAGCAAAATAAAACAAATTCTTGTTCTCCAGGACCTCAGGTAATCACTGGATAGGACAGCTAGTTTGGCCTGTGAAGTGCCACGTCCAATGCCGCCCCCGGCAGCTGGGCAGTGAGCTGTCAGCAGGCTCCATCCCCTCACTATCAGTCCTGTTAGAGTGGGCCTCCAGCCACCATGGAGATGGCACACACTAGCACAACCTCTCATAGCCGAGGTGCTGTCCCCAAACCTCCTCTTCTCCCACTGCTCGTGCCCACAATTAGGACACTGGAAACTCAGATCTCTGTAACCTTTATCTGCAGACTTCTAATAAACTCTGGCTGTGATCGTCCCACAATGTGCCCGGCCCTACTTCCTCCTGCCTTTAACCCTCTACCATCTAGTGTATTTTTAAAGACTGGTTCCACAAGACACTTTTTAAATGTGCATTCCTTTAATTTTTAAAAATATGTACAAGAAAAGCCATGTGCTTTACAGAGGAATACACAGAATAACAAAGAATTTCTAATAATTTTCCAAAACTGTTTAAGTCTGAAATTTATAAATTAAATATTTCAGAATTTTTAACATTAAACTGAAATCTCAAAACTACTGGGTCTGCTACAATTTTCACAAATCAAATGAACAGAGAATAGGAACATGGTTTGTGTTAAATAAGGTTTATTATTAATTTTATTGCCTATAGTCTCTATGGTGCAACTTTATTGTGCCTTTGCAAATAGGATACATTTTTAAAAAACTCATCAAAATTTTCCATCCATATAGCTCTATATGATAGATTACAGTGCAACACTATTTTGTTACAATAATCATAGAAATACTATAGAACCCAAGTACACAGAGTAATAAGCAAAAGGAAATACAATCCTGAGCCATCTGAACAAGATGATTTAATGAATTCTTTTAGAGCAAATGCAGAGAAGAGAGAGGTGTGGGGACATGCATACTACCACCAATGAGCAAACTACACTGAGCAACTGGCCCTCCCCCAGCATGAGTTTTATACACATGCACATACACACTCCCATGTCTTAACCAGCTTTCCATTCTTCCCATCTGTTCCAGCCCATTGTCCCCAAGTAAAAGATCAGGCACTAAACCCCAGTGAACCCCATGTTTGCAGCATGCCTTGCTGAGGAACAGTGAATGACTCTAAAATAATTAGCACATACTCCACACTCTTAAGTCAATCCCAGCTGCTTCTGCCTTTGGAAGTAACTGAAGCATGTGCCCACGAAAGCTTTAAACAGTCAATGCCATGAAAACAAAACATCTTCCTATGCCTTGACATAAAATCATGCCAAGACAAAAATGTCTCAAAGGCTCTTAAAATACATGCCTTTCTTCCCATTTTTGGTATTTAATCAATTAATTTTCAGTAAGAATAGTTTATGAATTGTATACCTGGCTATGGTAAGCATGCGTCACCTGCTCACCACTGGACTGACTTGAAACACAACATTTTATACTCCTTGCTAACGTTCTGACACTCTTAAAGTGTAACCAAAGATAAAGTACAGAGTTCAGTAATAAAAGGTATTTGGTTTGTCTTCCTTTTACACATCCTAGTGATGGAATGGAACAAACCAAACTAAGCCTCCATGCTGTCCCTGAAAATACCTGAGTCAGCTGACTATGTGGCCTGGTCAGCTCAGCCTGCATTCTGCTTAATCTGAGGCTGACCTGGGAAACCAGAGGGCAAACAAAGTTTGTCTTTAAAAAGACAATAAAGAGTTCCTGGTTTTTGCAATATCCACTGTCCTGAAGTGGAAACCACTGAGGTGGGCAAAACACCAAGCTATAAAGAATGCTTACTTCCCCTTCCCAGCTGCGGGACCACCGGGAAAGAAAAAGGACCCTCTTTCCCCACAATTCAGTGCATGGTTTAATGTCTGCATACATTTAGCTGCTATAGAAAAAATAAGAAAGGTTTACTTCATAACTTATAATTAAATGCTCACACTCATAATATCCTCATACATCTTATAAGGTGGCTCTTTAAAAAATCTTTAAAAGACGCACCAATACCCGTTCATTTATGTAAGCATTTCATATTATCACCACTGAAGCAATAAAAATGGCCATCTGTAATAAAGCAGAGAAGAAAAGATCGAAAGATACTATTAGCTGTAGTAACAAAGAATACAGTCTTTAGAAATGTGATGTTTGAGACAGGTCAGAATCCAAGTATTTTAAAATAAAATTTTAATGCTTTAGAATACTCTCATGGCCTCCGCCTACAACTCAGAGATGGAAATGGTTCTCAAAAAAATTTAAGAAGCCATTCCAAATTCTTTGAATATATACTGTGGTTATTAGTTGACTTTAAAAAATGGAGTCCTCTTGCTTTACTAAAATCCCATCAGGGACAAGGTCCTAATAAGACATGTGAAAGTGTTTCTAGAGTAGAAAGAACAGCAAGTTGTAACAAGATCTTTGGTTAATCAAGTCCATCTTCTCCTTCACACTGAGTGTCCAGAGAATTCTAAGCCCATGCAATCACTCAAAGAAGGTCAAATGACCTAATTTTCCAAATTGTCAGATGAACAGAATTTCAATATTGGGTTGGACAAATGTAATCCTCGCAGAGGAAGATGTAAAATCGAATGCTTCAGTTAAAGCACACTCTGAAATGGAATATATTAAATTAAAGCAAGTGTTATGAGCCTCATGCCATCAACAGGGTCCCCACACTGAAAGAGGGCAAAGCGGCTCTGGCTTC